GAACATAGTTTTTGCGCCTTGCACTCAAACAAAGTCTGGTTTTTCCAGCATCAAAGTAGCAAAATGGATTTGGACATGCCCTTAAATGTTAGTTAAATTTTAGTACCTTTAGTACCGTCAAAATAGAGCCCATAGTCATGGAGACTTTGGTTAAATATTAATTTTTATTAGTTTTATAGATACATACCTGGTTGAATTTTTCACACATTGATGTTGTGAGTAAAATTGAACAAAGAAGAACAAAGACACGTCACATATCAGCAGAAGTGGTGCAGAAAGCTGCTGGGCATTTCTGCAGCATTAAACCTCATTGTTAACCTCTGAGTTAAACATCAGCGAGTCTGTGTGCAAACTCAGCTCTCCCCAGTGGTCGTGGGCTTTGGGCTCCTGTTTCACATTCAGGAGACACAAAGTTATTTACTTAGTTTAGATTTTTATTGGCTTGCATTTTAGATGACATCTTAACTGTTTTAATGGCCTTTGTTATTTTGACTGCATATGTGAATTTTGGATGTTTTATAGATATAATGTTATACATTACTGTATGGGTTTATTATTAATAAAATATTTTTCTGCTCGGATGATGACGGGGGGGTGGGGATTCCGCTAAGTTGACATGATCCCATTCTGACCGGTAGAGAAAAAAAAAATTCTTTATTTACTTACTTATTTACAGATGCTTTAATCGAAAGCAAAGTGCACTTGCAGTTAGTGTTAAGGGCCTTTCTCAGGGCCCCCATGGTGACATCACTCTGCCGAGGGACTTTCCGATGACAAGTGCAGCGTCCGAACCTACTGAGTCACCGCAGGGCATTTAAAAATGAGCCTGAACAATAACCACATAAATAAAAACAGGGAGGAGCTGAGCCACCCTGGGGGGGCAGAGTCTGTCTTTGGCCTCCGGACCCCGATGGTTGAGCTCAGTTGTCGACGCCCCCAACCCCCCCACTCTGTCCGCTGAGCCATGGGTCACATGGTCCAGTTTTCCGCTGCCTACAGAGACAGTCCCGCATCGGTACAGCAACATTTAGTGATGGATCAGCTCCAGGCTTCTCGTGACCAAGACAACTCGGTAAGGATTTTTTAAAATTACCCCCCGACGAAGCCATTCAGGGGGGCATGAAGTCAAAAACATAAGAACATAAGAAATTTACAAACGAGAGGAGGCCATTCGGCCCATCAAGCTCGTTTGGGGAGAACTTAGCTA